GGTTGGTTTTGTGTATGTCATGCCATACACTAAATAAATACATTTCTCAGTGTATACTGTTATTAAAATAAGGCACAAAACCTTTATTTATGTGCCTGGGATGCTATCCCATGATACTTGAGTACCAAGTATTACCAACAACACCAACAAGTAGCATCAACAACATTGAGCAGCCATAAAAACAAAACCAACCAACCAACCAACCAACCAAACAAACAACCTGCTCATTTTCTCCAGTCAGTATTTTCAGACAAAGTATTTTCAGGATTGTAGATAATCCATTACAGGACCTTAATTAAAATACTCAACAACCAACACCTCCACAAACATAATAATCGAGGTGTATTTCCTTTAAGGCAGAGGCTGCTAAAATTTGGGGTGTTGTCCATTTAAAAAGGAAAGTCATGTTACAGCAGAACTTTCTACCTACAGAGCAGAGAAAATAATGATTTCATTTGCATGCTACAAAAAGGCAAGTGCTCAACATGTTCATTGATCAAACATAGTGTTCTGAAACTACCTCACTTCTTTGTTTTACATTCATTTCATGTGAGCAATTTTGAGCAGGAGGAAAAAAGCTAGGAGCTTTAGAGCATTTCAGAAAATACCCACCATTTGGTGCAATCATGTGCATTCCAAAAGAGGTAGTAAAAGGCCTTTTGGAGCCAAGGAATAAAATTAAGGTGCTTCAAAGATGCTTTCAGAGGGCATCTAGGACGAATGACTTATACATCAAGGATGGCAAGAAAAAAAACAAAGCCCTTCGCTGCTCTACTCCACATTTAACACAGAGAAATGTGTTTTTGTTTCAGGCTTCCCATCTTTAAATTAAGGAACCCATATTTTTGAAGTAATTAATGGCATAAGTAGAAGGAAAAAACAAGTCAATTGAAAAGTTAGGTTGCCAGGACTGATCTATAGCTAAGACAATAACACAGAGGCAGTGGTGCAAATCTCGGCATGTAAATCATCATTAGAATCATCAAAATTAATTGGATCTCTCTATTGTTACAAACTGTTTCTGGTTTTATCAATCCACCACTCCTACACTTATCACAGAAAAGAGAAGATTTAATTGTTATGCAGCGATCAACTACCCAAAATATTATAAGCATTAATTATGCTTAAATCTAATGGTATCTTCAGTCATAAAATCTTACCTAAAGACTGCAGACTTTAATTAAAACTTATCCTTAGAATAATGGTTTTCCAAAGGGAGCCTTAGGGAGAAGATTGCCCTGATTTTATTGGGTGGTTGCTGCTGTTATTCCTATAAACCTAATTTTCTGACAATGATGGTGGTTAATTGCAGAAAGAAAAAACAAAAAACAAAAACAAATGCAAAATGAACTCCCAAACTAGTACAATTAAAATATACTGCAGTTATTTTAAAAATAATAACGCCAAAATTTAAAATAGTTTCTTCTGACTCTCCATCACTCTGCTTTATTTTATTAATAATTTGAGTTCCTTCCTGACAGTCAAGCTGTTGACCTAGTTTTGTACATAGTCACTCAGGGAGCAACATTTGTTCTGGCTTTGTGTTGCTTTTACACTTCCTCTCAATTTTGAATAGTATCATTCCCTTGCAGGAATATTGCAAAATGAACCGTCTCTCTCCTAGCAACATGAAAAAGAAAAATATAGGGAGAAGAACACATGAGGGGGCTGTATGTGACTTATCTTTCCTGTACTACTTGTGCACGCAACAATGCTGTGTGCATATTTGCACACAACTCATAATTTTGCGCTGTGTTTTCCAGGCCACGAAGTTATTAATCAGCATGATCACAGCTGCCATTATGTATCTGCTCTGTGATTAAGATTCAGGGCCAGAGATTTACTGTTAAGCAATTCTGGAGAGGATATTCTTGAAAAAAAAAACATGCCTTAAATGTAGAATTGAAATCGCACATGTATCTTTCTTTAAGCGTTTGACACCAAGTAAAGATCTACTTGTTTGTTCAGACTTTGGATTAAATTTCTGCTGCTTTATTTCATGTTCTCTTCCTATTTTCACTATTTATTTTATGTTCTTTGCAAGGGTTGTACTTTTTTATTTTTACTATATTGTATCATTTGTGTGTCATTTTATAATGAAAAGTGTGTGACCAGTTAATTTCAATACATCATATTTTCTGCCTGGCCAATATGGGGGAAAAGGAATAACTGTTCACTGCAGAAATTGTATTGTATTGTATTGTATTGTATTATTTGTATGCCGCCCTTCTCCGGGAGGACTCAGGGCGGCGAACAATTCAAGGGGAAAAAAAAGGNTTAATTAATTTTTTATAAGCGAGGGGAAAAATACATTTTCCTATGTCATTGATCCTGAATTCAGCAAAACTAAAATCAATTTATTTTTTTCTTTTGCAAATAAATAAATAAATAAATAAATAAATAAATAAATAAATAAATAAATAAATAGACACAACAGTACTTTTCTGCATCCTACGACTAATATAATCACATTTTGAAAGCTCTTTTTGATTGATATTGTTCTTTTCTCTCACTCTTAATGAACCTCTGCAAACGGAATAAGATCATATTAACTCTTCAGAATCATTTTTTTGTGTGGTTGAGTGCACAGGTTTGTGTAGATGTATGTATATAGTAACTACACAAATGTTAAAGCGAAAGATTAATAGACACAAGGGACATAACTGTGGTGTCCTTGTTCCTATTTAAGTTCTTCAGGAACACAGACTGTCTTGGCTTGAAAGCTGTCTGTCTGTCTGAAGATAGATCATTTTGAAATAAACCAAGATGTGCACAGAACAAAAAATAAAGCTTTTAAGCACCGAAGCTATTTATTTTATTATATGTGCATATTATATGTTATTTTATTATATAATCCAAAGAACTAAATCTTAATCTTTGTTGTGGATTAAAAATATTGTTCCACTATCCAGTAACATTTCTATATATTTAATAATTTGAGGCCTGCACATTGAGTGGCAGAAGCCCTGGATAATTTCAGCAAATTTCTTTCCCAGGATTATTCCAAGATAGTGGTAATTGAACCTGACACCTGTTGTGTTCCGTTACTTGGCTATGATACTTTTCTAACAAAGATAATATATGCAAATCACTTCGAAGATACCTAAACATTTTATCTTTCTCACACACAATATATATAGAGTGTGTTATGTGGATGTATGTATTGATCAGACTGTTCTGATACACCAGGAATTCTTTAGCTTCATGCTGAACACTGATTTAGATATGATAGGTGAAGATTTTTCTTCTTGCTGTTGGTCATATTTCATTGTTATTTGGGACTCTAATGATATTGTTTTAATAAGTTTTGTGTTATGTATTTTATTATAGTCTGTAACTTGGTATGTGAGTGTGAACAACATAATATCAGAATAATTGATGATTAGAAGTGATTAGTTCTTATTTCTGTTTGTTACTGATGGATGAGTACCTATGGTCAAGTTCTTTATCTTCTCTTGGTTTTTTGCCTATACAAACAGAGTATCTGTTCAGTTGATATCCTTTATTTTACTACAGCTCTTATTAGCAGTCTGAATCATTCAAATCATGCTATACAAATAATGACAAATAAAATGTTTGTTGGCAGATTGACCATTGACATTCTAATAAACTGAAAAATTCTACTCCCTTACCACCTTAAAGTATACAGTTTTTAAAAGCTAATTTCTTGTTGAATATTGCTTTAGTTAAAATAGATATATGATGCATCCTTGGTAATTAGCATTAATGGCTGTTGTATAAAAACCAATGAAACCAGTAGTACAATAGAAATAAATTTTTATAGTGGAGGTTTGATTGCATATTTTACATGATTTTATTATATTTATCTGTCTGATTATTCACAGTGGGAGGAAGTCAGCATTATGGATGAGAAAAATACACCAATCCGCACTTATCAAGTCTGCAACGTAATGGAACCAAGTCAGAACAACTGGTTACGGACTGATTGGATTCCCCGTGAAGGGGCTCAAAGGGTTTATATTGAAATCAAGTTCACACTAAGAGACTGCAACAGCCTTCCTGGTGTTATGGGAACTTGCAAGGAGACTTTTAACCTGTACTATTATGAATCAAGCAATGACAAGGAGCGTTTTATTCGAGAAAGCCAGTTTGGTAAGATTGACACCATTGCTGCTGATGAGAGTTTTACTCAGGTAGACATTGGCGACAGGATTATGAAATTAAACACAGAGATACGTGATGTGGGTCCATTGAGCAAGAAAGGATTTTATCTGGCATTCCAGGACGTAGGTGCTTGCATAGCCCTGGTGTCTGTTCGTGTATTCTACAAGAAATGCCCCCTGACAGTCCGTAATCTGGCTCAGTTTCCAGACACAATCACAGGAGCTGATACATCTTCTTTGGTCGAGGTTCGTGGTTCATGTGTCAACAACTCAGAAGAGAAGGATGTGCCAAAAATGTACTGTGGGGCAGATGGTGAATGGCTGGTACCCATTGGCAACTGCCTGTGCAATGCTGGGTATGAAGAGCACAATGGAGAATGCCAAGGTAGGCCTTGTTGCGTTGTACTGTTCATTAAACGATGGCGTATGTAATTGAATCAGAAAAGAGGCTAAATTGAAGAAAGCCAGTAATTAGCAATCCCTGTGGGAATGCAGTGGGACAGCGTAGTCTAATGAGGAAATTCAGTACTTCCAGGAGGCAACGCTAAAAGATGCATCATTCTGAAAGAACAAAGACACTACCATAAGATGCAGAAGGCAAAAAAAAAAATAGCCATCAGAGGGTAGATTAGAACTACGTTGCATCTTGCCACTCACATTGAAATGTTTGTAATGCATTCATGTTATTTCATTTAAGAGAAAGCGCTTATTTTTCTCATTTGAAAAATTAAATATAACAAGAATCATGTCAAGGGAATAGTAACAACAACAACAACAACAACAAGGCTAGAAATTTTTGTTTTTACTTTTGTAATAAGAAATAAAACTTTGGTTTTAAAATTCTTCTTAGGTTCTTTCAAAATAACTCTTTACTGTCTCACTTGAGAATTCTTCCAATAAGTAATCCTTGAATGGATGACATGGCTGCTTTTGTGAAATATTTTTATTTCTCAAAAAGTCTCCATTGTTTCATTTACAAAAGAACTTGCTAGGAGACTAGTCAGAAATGCAAGAAGTCATCTGTTTCTCCCCTCCTTTTCCTATCCTCCACAGAATTAGGGATTAACCTTCATATAAAAGGCAGCTTATTTTAAAGGAAAGGAAAGAAAAAGAGCTTTAAATCTCCTTTATGATTCTCTTGATTTTTAGTTATACATTATTATGATTTTATAAGTAGACTATGCTGATTATGGACTTGGTTGCCCTGTAAGCCACCTGTTCAAGATCAGTCTCTAATGAATCCCCCCCCTAAAATAATAGCTTCATTTATTTTTAAAGTAATAAGATTTAGGCTACTGTGTTTGATGTTTTTTAATTGCATTTTGCTAAAAAAGCACACCTTTTTTAGTTAGTGAACAAAATAAACACCACATTATTTTATTTGGTAAAATTAATATACCATAGTAGTTTTATCCCATCTATCTAAAATAGGTTCATACGATGATTTGTAGGTAATTTGAAATTAATTATTGCCTGAAATAAACCATTTTTCTAAACATTTTCCTTTGCTATCATGTATTAATCAGATATTTATATGCTTATTGAAGAACAATTGAGCATAACTTCTTGATACTCTAATTAGGAGCTGTTGGAGTGAGAACTGAAATATGGTTAGTATAATGACAGGACATCATCAGAAAAGTAAATAATTCTCTCTCTCTCTCTCTGGAAAAGGAAAGGATCATTCAAAATGTTTGGATGCCTGGTACAAATAAATTGTTGCCAATACACAGATATCATACTAGAAGTGATCACATTATGAGACAATTAATGTGTAGGAACATATTTTTGTTTTTACTAGTTTCTGCTTTTCTTGGAATTTAATTTTTATAGAGTTTGATTATGGGCAAACAGATGGATAAAATTAGAATATTGGCTATTAGATTTCCCCAAAGGCAGTGTTGATGCAATATTGGCTCACCCTGATTGATGCAAAACTAAAACACTCCTTAGTCAGTGACAAAGGAAGCCGTTTTTGGAAGTTTGAGGAGAAAAAAAGTACTTTTTTATAAAAACCTTCAAAAATAAGAAAACAACCTAGTAAATACAATAACTCACTATCTTTAAAAAGAAAAAACACTTGCATGCATACTTTATAGGATTATTCCCCCTAAAGATCAAATCCAATTCTGTTTTTCTGCTTTGAGTGTCTTCCATGTTAATATTGGTTCATTAAACTTCCCTGAAGTGAATGTAAACCAATAAACAACACAATTTCATCTCCCAATTTCCATGAAAATATGTGCCAGTTTGTGTACGCATTTCCTGAACTCCAAATTTTAGTAATTCTGAATAATAACATTGATTCTAAATCCAGAATATTTTCTTGTAAGTATGGCACAAAATAGATGATTAGGAATTAAATATTCTCACATTCTCACTTCATAGAGATGTGTCATGAAATTGGAAGGCAGACATAAGGGTCTACAGTATTTGTTAACTGTCTATTCAAACTGTTTTTCAGTGTTAAAACTTGGCAATATAAATGCAAGAGAAGGTCATAGGTCATTCATTTCCTCATCCATCTTCCTCCTGTGATCCTTAGGTCAGAGTTAAGATTGATTAAGATTTTAAAACCTAAACAAAGGTTTGATGGACATATGATAAAGCAGAAGATGCTCCTAGTATTTGAATCTATAATACTACTTATCTATTGAAAAAATTAGACGATTGGAGACCAAACTACATTTGTTCCTAAAAAAACATGTTAATTTAGATAATGATGGGAGTGAAAATAAATAACACTTAATGGAAAACACAGTTTATATTTATCCAATGATGTCTGCATTTTGCTCCCAAATAGGTCCAAGTTCATTCAGCCTTTTGATCTTGAATAATATTTCCTGACATGAAAGTCTTTTGTTACTCATTTTTCTCCATAATATAAGACCATTTACTGAAATATTTTTATACATACTGTTTTACATACTTCACCTTTATTTAAAACCCTTTTGTGTTGGCTGAATTTCTTGTTTTAAATTGAAGAAAGGAGGAAAATGCACTTGATTTCCAAACCTTTTGAGAGAAAAAAATATGAATGGGAAATATATTACTGAAACATAACATTGCTTTAGCTTTGAAATCTATTGCAAGGTGAAGATAATTACTGTTTTAAGATAAATTCAGCCTGTGGGTCATATTCCCTTTATTAGAATTTATCATTGACATTTCAATGATTTTGTTATACAAACTAAGAAGAAATCAGTAAACACACTGAACAAATTCCCTTATTAAAATATAGAAGTTCAAGAAAACATAGGAAAGGCAATAAATAAATTAAACAAGTAGGAAAATGCTAACTCTCTGAAATTGTTGTCATGCTCTGTGTGAAACTAAAAGTAGCAGTTTTGCTTAATAATTTTACACTATAAAAATCCAGGTACATTGATTATGATATATATAAACATTCCAATAATTTAGTATCTTACAGTGTTAAATACAGTCTTAGTTTTATATATTATATATAAGCTTATTGTAAAAAAAACAAACCCTTAGAAGTATGGTTTTCAGACATCTTCTCTTTGCTACTTTTGTCTTTAATTATGGGATATTTAAGATTCAATTACTTGAATCATATAAATCCACTTATCTCCGTGATTTTAAATAGTTTCAAATATAACTGAAGAGTGAATTTTGTTATTATTACTATGGTTTATTTTCTTTTTTCATTACATTTTAAAAATATGATACATGTAATCCCACGCTTTAGTATTGTAGAAATCTGGGTTTTGTTTTCTTTTGATATCCATAACCTTAGATGATACAACTTTACAGATCAACCTCTGTATGTATCCAGAAAAAGTACATTTTCATTTATAACAAGATGTTTTCAAGCATTCAGAGCATTTGAATGTATTTTCATATCTGTTCTTTTAAAATTAGTAAGGCTTTCTATTGAATTGACAATAAGATTGTATTGTAAAATAGTGTCAGATACTGGGTAGGTTTGTATAGCGAGGGAAGTCATGGTTTTTAACATTTGCAAACTAATTAATTATAAATAAATTGTGACATACATAATACAGTTCATTTGTTCAATTTTCCCGTTCTTCCCTCATGTTCACCACCGAAATAATTGCAGTTTATTTTCTTTCCTCATTTAATATGTGTAGCAAATTGTGGCTAGCCTTATCAGGTTTGTATGAATTAAATGTGAAATGTTTATAGTTTGCTTATAAAACAAAAATATTTATTCTAATTTGTAAGCTTGGCAAGATTCTGAGAAATACAGCCTGGCAATTGCTGGGTTATTTATCTGTGTTTGGTAGAATGGCCCACTGATCTCAGATCTTTATTGTAGCTGCAAGAATACGTGAGAAAGGAAGATTTCAAGCCAACTCTTGTATCTTTTGAATCCGTCTGTCTTTTATCCTTTCCTTGGTTGACTTTTAACTTGTGGGATCAAATTCTGTTCTCATTCCATCTGATTATTTCCTTCTTTTGATATACTTTCTGGGAGCAGGTGAGGTCACATAGCTTCATGAGCTGGAAATAATTAACACTTCCATGACTAAATGGTCACTTTATGAATATTCAGGATCAGCTTCCCACCCTGGGAAGCAAACATGTTTGTTCCATTCTCATTACTCCCATTGGAAGCCCGAGAAGTTTCCCCTGTGAATGGAGGATTGTCAGCTGTCTGGCCAGTTTGCTTTCTGCATGCAGCAGATCCCTCATTTACATATCTTGTATACATCCTCATGCAAAATAGCCCACCCATTTCCCACTTTCACAAAGGAGATAAGCGCTTCCTTTGGAAAGAGTGGAGGAGAAGCTCCTTCTGTCTATTATGTAGATGCTGAAGTCTTGGATTTCATGCAAATGAACTCCATTTGGGTTTAAAGTTCTTTGTTTAAGAGATAGGGATGTGATATTTGCACAGTATTTCTCTTTACAGCTCAGGCCTTCAGCTGTAAGAATGTGCTTTGATTGTCACCACATATATGTAAAATAGGTCTGGGACCTCTTTGTGAAGGAAAAATGCTAACAATATACTGTATAGAATGGCTGGGTTATGAAGTGAAGCATTTGCACTTTAGATGGGATCTTTCCCCTGAGTTTCCAAGGTTGGAAAATTAAAGTAGCAACTTGGGTTAAAGGGGACGGGAGAGGTGATAAGATCCTGATTTATTATTCCACAATTAATATGATATTGTGATGTGCTGAGTCCTTAGAAAATACAGTTTTCTATTGTGCTGACTTTAGCAGACATAAATTTAATATGAATCAACTCAATTAAAATTTTATGTGGCTTGTAAAAGAAAAATCTGTGTGATTGTTTAAGAAAAAATACAATAAAACATAGCTACAGTATTTCAGATAACTATTATCTTTGTCCCCTGTCCTCTGTTCATCATATAATCCTTTGCCTGCTATGGCATGATC